TTGTCTAGAAGCTTGCCTTCTTCAACTAGGTGATGTATGACGAAGGCTAGGACTCTGGCAGTGTAGCCATGCATCAGCAGTGGTAGGACCTGGTGATATTTAATGTCCTTTTTGGTGATGTGCTTCCCTCGCTGAAAGAATTGAACGTCAGCCGAAATGACCGCAGTTGACAGGCTCTTGTTGCTTCCAGTGTCCCAAAACATCCGGAATAACATCTCGATGTAGTTGAGCTCAATATGAAAGAGTGCAGGCACAGGAAGGAGCCATTTCTTCTGCTCCCAAAGCTCGCTGGCTTCTAACTGAGACTGTTTGATGCGGCGAATGAAGGTTGTTGTTTTACAGTCGCCGTAAACAAGAGTGAGGCGCTCATCGTATTCTTTGAAGTCAAGTCGGCGCTTCCAGAGTTCTTCGTGCAACTTGTACACTCCATCGATCGTGCCCTCATTCTCAAAAATGGCGCCAATTTGTAGGAAAGGAGACTCCTTATAGGTGACTCTCTTTACGGTAGGCATCTCCGGAGCAGAGCCTTTGGCGAAGACCTGCATAAACGCGTACTTTAGCAGCCATTTTGAGGCGGCGTCAACTGAGGGTTGCCGGGGAAGAAGGTGTTGTATGACCATTTGCCGCGTAAATCGTTGTGTAAGGTCCAGGGATGACTGTTGTAGAGGACCATTGAGTTCCGGGCATGTAACCAAACACGTAGTTGTTAGGTTGACGAAGTGGTGTTGTCTGCCACCAGCTAGCTCACGAATCCGATTCATGAAGTTGAAGTTATCGTAGACAATAATTCCGTTAGGATCGTGTGCGGCCGCCTTGATGTTATCCTTTGCCTGTTTCTCCATCTTGTTCAACAGTCTATTCAAGACTGTATATGAGGATATGATGCCTAAGTGGGCGAGGGTATCGATGACCCGGCGAGGCGTGCCGTTGGCGAGCATATAGAGGCCCAGAACTTGGCGAATAAATGGGCTGGTATTCCGCGCATAGCCTCTCATAAGGAGGGAAGATAATAAGCAGATCTGAGCGCTGTTATTCTCGTCGACTGTGTTGTTGAGGACGGCGTTGCTTGTCGAAAACTAAACCACATTAGTTATATTTTCTTACTTGGGGGAAATAAACAACCATACCTGATTCTGCAAAACCTGTGAGAAAAAAGCAACCATACTAGGCGCCTTGGTGACGAGAGTCGGCCAGGTCTGCGTCAATCTCTCTTCAACCCAACTAGCATTACAAAGCTCTGCAACAGTTGTTGGTACTGCTTCTTGCGAGTGAATTTCTGGCTCGAAGTCGCCGAAAGGAGGCTCGTTGACCAGGATCTTCATTTCCTTTCGTATTTGCATGCTGGTGGAAAGCTGTTCATCATCGGCTTCCTTGACTGTGACTCCCTTCGCTTTGAGAGCTTCCTGAACACGAGGATCAAGTAGGGCATCTGCCAGTTGTTGAGCTCTTGTGCCATTCTCTACCCACTTGTTGACAAAGGGCCCTACGAGCATACATTATCTGGCACTCGTCGTCGCAATTGGACTTCGGCATATTGCAGAGGTTCGACACAAGAAGGGTATTGAGCGAACTAGAAGAAAGAACAATGTTAGGTTGAGGGGCATACAATGGCGACAACTCGGAAATTTCAATGTCGCCGGCGAGTATTGTAGCATGAACAAAGAGATACATACTTGATGTGTGAGAGAGTTGGAGGCTGCTGGCTGGTGGTGACTTGGCTACCGTACTGGGGACGTCTGGGCAAATTTGGGCTGCTTGTACTTGATATCTACCAACGAGGCTGGTTAGTCACGGCACTGGTCAGTCGCGGTGCTGGGCGAACCCGAATGCTATCATTAGAAATCAAAATGGGACTGGGAAATAATTACAGAGATTCCGAGTACAGCGATGATACATCTGCGATCAATGTTAGCACAATCATTCCTCTTGCTGGGCCTGGACGTTGGGAATGCTGGTCTTACCAGTGAAAATGGGGGGTGCATTAAAGAGTGGAAATGGGAACGAGCACCAATGCTAGGGAAATGTTATCTCAGAAACTCAGACCAGCTTGGTGTGGCTCAGCTGCCTGCGGCACCCACTTTTTAAGGATTTGACCCCACTCTAGATTTTTGGACCAATCAGAACACCAGGAAAAGAATCACCACCAAGCTGGTCTGAGTGCAATATTAGATCCGAATCGTGACCCCCTCCACATCAATTGAAGGCATTCACGGAATGCATGATATTCAACGCGCAAATTGGTCAAAAATTACCTCGTTAGTACCGTTGGAATGCCCTCAACTCAAGCTGTCGATTGGTACTAATTTTATGCACAGAACATGTCTTCTGGGTCGGATTCCGAGCAGCAGCCCTCACAAGGTGCGCTCCCGGCCATGCCCGCCCACATGCGCCAGGCTCAGCATATTCGAGAGTCATCTTCAGAGCTTTCTTCAGCCCCCGCCCTGAGCAGTTCATTTGCCCTGAAAGTTGAGGAGTGCGAGTTTTATACGGGCTTTACGCGGACAAAAAGATCAAGCAAAGAGCTACAATACATAACCCTAACCCTGGCCACCAACCCCGCCCACCAGTACATCCAAGATTCTGCCGCGCAGTAATTTACCACTTTTTACCACAACGCAGCCGAACCTTAGTATGGTATTCCTTGCGCTCATGAGCTTCTACGGCGTCACAATGCAGGTACTCTGAAGCTTCAGAAAGTCGATTTCCATCCATATTAGTACCTAGAAAGGTCGCTACTTGACGAAGACGAGTACCTTCAGTACCAAGACCCCGACAGGGTTGAACACCTCCGTGGCAGGCCCCGCCATACTACTGCCTTTGCCGCGGAGCCGAACGCGCCGCGTGTGCCGACCACTCAGTCCGGGACCGCACCGCATGGCACTGCTCAGCCGGCCGGGCAGCCGGGCAGGCAGTCCGGACTAATGCCCTCTATTCGCCGTAATGCCTCACAGTGGGAGGAAGTCTCCCTCGAAGACGACGACGACATCGACGACGATGATGATAATAATAACGACGTTAACGACGATAACGATATTGATGAGCTCAGTCAGCCTATACTTACCTCCTCGCTGTACTATTAACAACCTCAATGCGGCTCGAGGCAGCCGGGGCAGAGGAAGCCGGGGTACACAACGCGGTGGCTGGAGCAACACGGCATCACGGGCTTCAACACGCAGTGGAAGGGTTCCTCGCCTGACTGCCCGGGCCTTAGAAGGCATGGATCAGTAAGGCTGTCAGTTGCATGCAGTTATGAGTAGTGTAAGTAGGCCTGCAGTTTTTTATTGCATTTTTGGCCCTGTTATGTAAGCGAATTCAACGAAGTCAGCTTCGCTTTTTACTGCAGATTTGAACGATTTGAGCGAATCTACGGTCCTGAGCTGGAATTACCGCATTTGGAAGTGTGTTGACGTTGGCGAGGTGCAATTGCGGTGCAACTGCGTTGCCAGCGCTTGGAGCGGGGCAGCCAGCGAATGTGGTAATTTTGGCTGTAAAATGTGGTATTTTCATGGGCGGTGAGCTGTAAAGCTTGGCGGCCTATGTACCTACGGTGCAAGGAACGAAATTGATGGTGCCAGAAGACGCTCTCTTTATTACATCCCTCCAAGCCCCCCAATCCTCGACGATAAAACTTTTGTCCTGGACGCGATCGTTCGGAACCAGACCCCACCAACCACCCCATTACCTGGGCAGCCACGCTCACATGCACGCCGACGTGTTTCATGGTTGGTTTCATCACTTTCCTCTGAACCTTCCTCCCGCCATGTTCTAGATTCTCTTTGAGTTCTCTCTCACCGAATTGGAGCGGACTGCCATCCCGGCCGGCTAGGGTGGTGCACTGTGGCGGACAATGGAGACGGCCTGGACGCAAAGCCCGATCGGCGATTCTGCCCTCGAGGCCATCTTCGCCTCGGATCAGGACATGTACCCCGTCGCCGCGCTTTCATTCCAACGTTTTCGCAGCTGGGTCTCGGCCTGGCCAGAACTCTCGATTTGTTTCTCAGCGCCCGCGGCCCATCCACCAGCAACATCCGGGTCGCCGCAATTGCCACTTGCTGGAGTCATCGTCGTGCTGCCACTGCGTCGCGCGCACTGGGAAGACCTGCTCGTGGGCAGGATCAAAGAGGCCGACATCGATGCCGAAACCATGTTTCCAGCCAGGCTCGGAGCCGGAGTCGGAGATAACAGCCCACATCTGGTAGAAGAGGGAGGGGAAGAGGTCGGCGTGCACGTCTTTCACATCGAGAGGTTTGCCGCCCTGCCAGAGGGGGGCCACGTGTCTACCGCTGCAACAGGCATGGGTGCAACAAAGAAGCGCTTCGCCGAATTTGCCCTCGACCAGGTTGCGCGCCGCGCAGCAGCCATAGGGAGGGGGGCACGACGCTGGAGCATTGTAGGCTTCTCGGGTGAGCCGAGTTGGTGGTTTTTTTTTGCCCGTCCATTCCCACCCCTTCTCTCTTCTCTTTCTTTCGTCCTCTTCTTTCCCCTTTCCTTTTTTTCTGCTATTTTTTTTACCTCCCTCTGCCTGAGCATATTCCCACCGTTGTCTTGCAGTCAGGAAACCCACACCGCAGTGTCCCGCTGTTACTAACCACGACGTGCATCTCTACCCCCTAGCCCTCACTGCAACGCCTGCAGGCAAAAAGACGTTTGAACGGGTGGGTTTCACGTCGACCGGGTACAGAGAGATCCTCTTTTCACGATCTAATGCGAAACCAACCGAAAACGATAGGGAAGCCCCTTCGAGCCGAGAGATCGAAATGCTCTGTCTGTACCCTGGAGAACGGACGGGCGAACGTCCGGTAGACATGGTCGGCAAGGACTGCACCATTGTGTCGAGTTCCGAGATGGCGGTCCGCCGTTGACTTGACAGCGACTTGAGCCACGTTGTTCTTGATCTAATCAAGCGGGGTTTGGTGAGAAGAACAAATGAAAATGTAAATTGAAGAAAAGAAAACACAGGATATGAATGGCGATGCGGATCGGAAGAGGGCAAAAAGTTATGATAAGAGTGGGATTCGAACCTAGGCCCTTTCGGACCACGGAATAATGTGATGTAACAGGATGTCACACCGTGAATTAAGGGATATTATCTCCCTAACGCGGCGCCTTAAACTGCTCGGCCATCTTGCCTGTTGCTTGCTTGATGGAGGGTTGGTTTGGAAATGCGTTATTTTAAGGGGAGCGTGGTGGAACTTGAGAGGTTTTTTTTTCAGGGCAAGGGAAACCAAGTTGTGTGATATGGGGCCCTGGATCTCCACTCCATTCAACCTTGAGTCCCTTGGATTGCTTGGCTATCTTGCTTTTCGATTAGTAGTTGTTTCGCTGGCCTGTGGATCTTGATGAAGATTCTAGGTGGAAAGCGCCGATAAGAGGGTTGTCTGGGAAAAGATTGAGCGCCCATTCCACCCTTTATGTTTGCAGTAAGCAGTGCAAAAAGAGTGGGGCCTCGGAACTTGGGCGAGAAATGCTTGCAAGGGGGTTCGACTTCGAAGGGAAAAGGGCCCCAGGTTCCAACACCCGCACCGAGACACGAGATCAAAGTCACATTCACGGAAATTATAGTGGTGTCTTCGATTGGCCCTGAACATGATACATCTATTAAAGACGATTTAACTGAACATGACGTCCTCGAGGACGTGGTGAACCTGGCGTTCCGCATGGTCTCCATCCCCATATCAATATCCGCGATGTAAGAACTTGCCAAGGGAAGATTGCGGATGGAAAACCACCCGGCCGCTCTCAATCCTAACTGGTAATATCCAGCCGACCGTGTTGAAGCGTGGCTTGACAAGCTCGCGGGTAGTTTTGTGAAAATTAAAATCCGTTGGATGGAGAAGGTCGGCGGTCATAGTGTAGACGCCCAGGCTTTCAGGCGTCATGTATGTGGTGATAAACTTACAGAGTGGACTAAAGATGCGGCGGATTTGGTAATCAATCGCAAAGCAAGTGGATAAGCGTCCCAAGCCCTACCATTCATTCACTAAGGCCGTTCATGTTTTTTCTTTTTTTTCTTTTTGGTTTTTACCTCATTAATGCGGAAAATAGCTTGCATCTAAGTTGGTCGAAGCAGCCTTGGATAACCGCGAGACTGACTTGATCTGTGCCACCTTCTATACTGCCGTTGTATTGGCCAACGAAATCATGCATATGTGGATCGGCTTCGTTGGTCAGAATACTACGGATGGAAGCGTACAAACGGGCCCTATAACTTGAACCAACCCAAAGCTAATGCTATATTGGGGAACAGAATTTATAAATGTGCAACTCCTAGAACATTCCGAAAAGTCCTAGTAAGACCTTATTAAAGATAATATGGTTTTGATGGGGCGCTCACCGAGCACCGGGGATGAAATGGATGGGAATAATGCTGGTGAACCAGTCCAAGATACCAACCGTGCTATCCCATTAAAAATTCGACCCGCCACGAATGAGGATTTCGACAGGGGCTTCATGAGGAGCGGTGGGTCTGGGTCACAGCATCCTTGAACAATACATTGACAGCCTAGAAGGTTTTTATTGTCGAGACACCACGTCATTTGACCTAGCCTCGCTGGTCGAGACTAGGATCCGGACCTGCTATCCCGGCCCGGGATTACAGCTCGCGGTGGCTCTCAGTGCTCAATCTATCTTTGTTAGTTACGGGAGTCTCTGGACTCTTTTGAACCTTTGTCGAAGCAGGCCTTCGCAATCAACCACATACCTCACGATTCCGCGCCAAACAGCTGGCTGTAAGCGTACGGGATACACATTTGAGCTCGTGACATGTTTGGCATATCATCTAGCTGGCTAGATGCGTAGGTGGATAGATAGATCATAGGTAACTAAACAAACCGAGAATATTTGAAAGCTGACCGGGGCTGGTCCCGGTCAGACAAATATTTAAGTTTCCATTATATACTGCTTACTAGGTCGTCAAATTGCTAATCATTCTTGATGTAATGAGAGTTATTATGCGTAGATTGGCAGCTACTCGCTAACTAGGGTAAGATGGATCACCAAGTAGAAAACAGTTTTCTTATTGATTCCCTAAGAACTAACATAGTGTTTAGACAGAGAATAGCTCGCTGTCATTCTCATGCACGCATGTGTAAATGTGTGCATATTATGAGAATCATGTGTGTATTTGCTTACATGTGTAATGGCATGTGTGTGTGTGTGTGTGTGTGTGTGTGTGTGTGTGTGTGTGTGTGTGTTTGAGAGGGTTGAAACCCATGTTTCTAATTATTACCGGGTGCCAATTGAAGAATGTACAATTAGCAGTTTTGCGTGAGGGAACAATGTGCCTCGTGTCCCCAAAGATCTGAATGACTACACAGGACAGGAGAGTCCTATATAGATGAAGGGAAGGACTGAGATATCTAAATTGTGTTCTCGTGGGTCCATCCGAAAGGTCAAGAGACCAGAACTAGACGACATATGTGGGCAATCCCACAGGTAGCAGACCAACCACGACTTCCTACCCAAGAATACGTGGCCTGGGGTGAAGGAATTTTAATTGATGCCGCGTACAAGTGAAGAGGCGGAAGCTCTGCCTTCCACGACAGCACCAAAACACCAGACCCGCACGACGAAATAAAGTCAGGGGTGGGGCTAGGGCGAGTCCAGGGCTCGGAAAATTGAGTAGAATTTTGATATTTCCCGGAACATTGCAAACGGCTCTTGTGAAAAGGTTTTAAAATACTGCGAATGTTTGGAAAGGCTCGGTAGCTCTAGACTAGTTCAAGAGTAATGACCTTGGGAGTTTAAGGGGGGTGAATGATGAATGGGTTGGAATGATGTTGAACGTTGTCATAAGATAAGCAACGAGGGGTTAGGAAAGGTACCCTAGTATTAAGGCAAAAGGAATATATGCGAAAGCACATCATTTATATCTTCAGTGTCAATTATAGCTTGAGGAGACGGCCCTCAAAATAAGTGAAGCAGCACACTAATCGTAATGGATCCTGAACCACTCACACTCCCCCACCCTCACATCAGCCCTAATCAAAGCGCGACACAGCAGCTTAAATATATTACTGATCCAGGCTGCAGCCAAGCCACGACTGCCTTGACCGTCACCGAAAAAGAAAAAGACCCGTTGGTGATTGATGACCAACAGTGGCGTGGGGTGCGTTAGTCAGGCTCAGTTGGCTGATTCGTGCCCCTTGTCAGTAGTGTGTGTTGGCGGTTTCATTGACTCAAGGTGAGAATTAAAAATATCTCGGTATCTTGCCCGTAATTGAAGACCGCAGACTCGGCGTCCGAAAATTCCAAGGACAAGGGGAAAGGAGCTGCGGTTGTAGCCCCCGCGGCACCCGTTCCCTCATCTAGCAAGGGCCCGGCAAAGGTGGTGTCGAAGCCTAGTGGAAAGCCATAATTGACCGCCACTCAATCATTGGCAATCTCATTATCTCTAGGTACCCTAGAACGAGTCTGCCTGGATTTATATAGACGGAGGCTATGCATGATGAATGAAGGACGCCGAAGAGCGCGGCGATGTCATTGCAGCAGGCCTTGAGGTGTCTAGGGTCGAGCTGAAACTACCTAGTTACAAAGACCTAATGACGAGCAAGCAGCTCAGGGAAATTAGACGCGAACCGATATGGTTTCCCGTGTTTGATACCAGGGGACAACGGCTTCCGTCCGTCTAGTTGCTGTTCTGTTTCTTTACTGTTTTGACGGGAAGAAATGAATGGGCCGTTTGCGAGCAGGTTTTGTAACGACTTATAACCAACATTTCGCTCCTTTTGCGCCAGCAGGTCCTGGGCAATGGTTAGGGATATGGAAGACTGGGGCTGGCCTCAGCGGCTGTCATATTATTTGGCTGGCCAGATACGCACCTGCCTTTGATAGGCACGGTATTTTACTTTTACTGGATAAAGAAATCCAATCCGATTGGGCTAGTCCTATTTCGTGACATTGGTCTCATTACTTTGATCGTTGGTGTCTTGGTGATATCTACGTACATTGCTCTTTCAACTGGCCCAAAGCTCTTGAATGAACAGGATTCGGTGCCCAGGTAGGTAGCTAAACAACTGACAGATGGCGGACTTGCGTGGCAGATTGATGGGCAAAGATTCCCAGAAAATTTCTCTTAATTACTTCACAACATGGTTTCTTTCCAATCCCCATCAGCCACTGGGTCGTGTTCCTGCGGGACCGCTATCCTGCAGTTGCAACAAATCGTTATCCGTTAAATCTACGGTGCTCTGCCGTAGTGGCAGCCCTCTTCCGGCTCGCCGACTTCCTCAGCCGAGAAGCCGCAGTGCCCTGGGTCCTTCCAGCTAGGAGGACTTATTACGCCCCACCGCAACGGGGCAAGCGCTGCCTTGGTCTGGGGCTGGCCGTCAGGACCATGGCACGCTGCAGCGATAGCCAGACTACAACTGCCGACGACAGGAATGGCGGACGGAAGCCGTAAGCAACCCGTGGCGACGACGGCGGTGACAAGCAAGCAGCAAAGCACCAGCACGAAGATGATGGCAATGGGCGAGTAGCCGCACGTAATCATGTACCAGCTGGGAGAGGACTGGTCCAGGTTCTCGACGGCTACGACAAAAATGCTCTGCGACATGAGCCAGTGCACCACGACGGAGAAGCCTATCAGCGGCACGCCGAAGCGGTATGGCAGCTGCAGAAAGTAGCGTGCGCGCTGGGCGCCAGCGGGGGCCGCCGACACGCGCAGCGGCTTGCGCTTGACGCCAAAGCTGCTCCACTCGCGCGCCGCGAGCATCCGCGTGAACATGCTGTTGTACCGAAAATACAGCAGCGAAAAGATGACGTGGGGCGTGTTGGCTAGCACAACCATGGACCCCAGGGAGCCCGCCTGCGGCTGGTCTTGGAAGGAAACCAGCGTCTTCTCGCTCGTCGTGCCGAACCCTAGATCCCAGAGGCTGCCGAGGTCGGTGGCGCCGGACATGCTTTTTATGGCGTAGAAGAGGTAGACGCTGATAGTCGTGATTCCGCCCAGGTAGCTAGGGTGGTAGCGACCGTTCGTACTGATTAGCCGACTTTTACCTGCACAGAGTCATTCGCAGGGAAGGGCGGGGGGTCAAGGACATAGATATGGACTCACAGCGCCATGTTGACGATCCACTGGGACAGTCTCGCCGCAGAACGCCAGCGCTTGCGTACAGGGTTCCACAATGTCG